GTGTGCCACCCCCAGGCTTATCTCTAGCCTTTTCTCCTTCAAACCTAGTTTAAAGCTCTTTCAATGAGCCCTGCTAACTCCTGTGCAAAGACCCTTTTCCCTCTTTGAGACAGGTGTACCCCTCTGTCATCAGCAGGCCTGGTGCTGTGTAGACCGACCCATGACCTAAAACCCCAAAATTCTGCTGGTGACACCAGGCTTGGAGCCAGGTATTGATCTGTTGACTCTTCCTGTTTCTTTCCTCATCATTCCCTGCAACTGGCAGGATAAAGGAGAACACTACTTGTGCTCCTGATCCCTTAACCACTCATAACCATAATTTACAGTGAAATCTACTATTTAAATTTAGTCAGAAAAACACTTATTGACAACTTGTAGCCAACCTCACTCCTCCTTTCTCATTGCAAAACAATTCTTTTAATTCCAAATGCAGAATCTTTCCTTATGACTGTGATGCTTGACTACTGAACTGGATGGCCCCTTTCCCCTCTCTAGTATTTAATTACCAGAAAGTTTGCTTAGCCGTGTGATTCATGGTCACAACCAGAATAAAACTCTGCGTCTGTTGTCCTTTCCCTCATCTACAAGTCCTGTGGATGTGTTCAGTAGTAGCTCCCCAGTAGTTATAGGGAAGATAACAATCCAAAGCTCAACATTTCAAAAAGGATCTTTCAGTTTCAGCATTACCAGTGCCATATCACCAATGGCCTGTGTGATAATCCATCAGGATCTTAAGGTCTTAGATGAGTCTTTTTTGAGATGAAGGAGAGATCATTTCCCCACACAAATCACTTCATGTTGTACAATGAGCAGTTAGCCTTGCCCAATGTGCTCTGTAACGAGGGCTACTACAGCATTTTGTGCGGTCATTCAGTAACACCAAAGAAAATGACAGGAAAAGAACATGGGGAAATGGAGTGCAAGGAGGACAAGTAGCCTGACACTGTGGCCATCTAGACAAGAGCTATAATTTATCCATGGTGATGTCCAAAGCACAAGGTGAACTTTTCACTCGTGTGAGAGCTCTCAGCATGAGCTCTTTTCCAGTACATCTTCAGTTCTCCCTACTGTTTCATTCCCTTGGCAACATATTTATTGTTATGTTCATAAAGATGTTTCTTGAATTCTCAGGGGCGTGTATTAATATTTCAGCACCATTTTGGAAATAATCCTGATTCAAAAAATTTATTAAGCTTTTCTAGTGTTGGAAAAGG